CCCCAGGTCGGCAGCTGGCCTTGTCAGTCTGCCTGCCGTGGTGATGTTGCGCTTTCCCCCCAAAGATGGCACTGGATGCCTTTTGCATTTTCTGGGGATATTATTTTTCGTCCCCCGGGGAGCCCGGCTCCTGGTTGGTACAGCTGTAAATCTTTCCCTTTTCGCATTCATTCACCCTTGGTCTGTTGTGGATTTGTATTCAGTGCTTGTGGAGAAGGCAGCTTGTTATGTGGGGTGAATTAGAAATGAACGTGTTTTGGTTTTTTGGTTTTTTTTTTTCCTTTTGTTCCTCTTAATCTGGCAACCCTAAAGCCCACACAGGTGATGTTAAATGTAAAATGAAATCTTTGAGTCCTGGATGAGCACAAAGACTTTGTGTTCTGGCAGAAGCTGTCGCTTTCCATTTATTGGCGGTCAGATGGATGAAGATGCTACCCACCTGTTAGAAGAAACCTGTCCTCCTCTTGTCCGTCCCTGTGCCCCCACGCCACCGTGCCTTTTTCTCTCCTGAGTGGGGAACAGCTCCGTGCCGGCTGTGCTCGGGGCAGGCAGGACAGACTTTCTCATGATTATTGGATGAGTTTTGGGAATGCTTGGTAGCACTTACCTTTCTCCTCTGTCAGGTGGATGTGTATGACATCTCGGGGGGGGGAGGATTTTTTTCCCCCCAGCTGTCAGTAAAGGAGAGCAGAGCAGTCTGTTTCCTTGGTTCTCTGTATAAATGTGGCATTTAGGTATTTGTCTAAATTTTTATATAGGTACAGAACTGTCACTGCAGTTTTTTCAATCAGCGTTGCGAGCTTCATGTCGATAGCTAGGCAGAATGAAAAGGAATGAAAATGCATAACATTTATTTAAAAGATAAACTAGAAAGTTGTATTTATTTGAGAAGCTTTTAATTTGTCTTGTGAAAATGATTTGTTCTTTGTGTTTTGAGCTTGGATATTTTTTTTTTGTCATCTGCTCGTAACACTCACATGGACGAGGTGCTTTTTGTCTGACACCTAGCTCATCTTGGCCTTTTCTGCCCCTTTTGCTTTCGCACCCTGGCGCGTGGTCAGAAAATACTTGAAAACAGACTGTTTGCACCCTCGCTTTAATTTTATGAGGAGCATATTAGACTTGCGTGCTGAGTTACTTTCTTATAGAAAATGTCTTGGCCACTTGACGGTACTTATTTCGAGACTCTGTAACGCACATACGTCACTTTAAAAAGGAGACTTTCCAAATGCGCTAGCGAGCAAACCTGTTGAGCTTCCTGATGCTGCAGATTCAGACAGAAGGGTGAGAATTGTGCATGTTCGTTATTCTGCCGTACAGAACATGAACCTGGTGGTGTTCCCGCCTGTTTCAAACTTAGTTTTGGGGGCATTCAGATTTGCTGTTACTAGTTTGACAGACGTTGAGTTCAGTAGCGAGTGGGAAGCACTTTCCATGGCTTGCCAAGTAAGCATGCAGGTTAATACTGGAAGTTGTGTTTTGTTTTGGTTTTTTTAATGGCATAGGGTCTCCTTTGCATTCCTCCTCTATGATGCCATACCCAGACTCTCCCCATTACTGGACTGGGGCCAGATCCTCAGCGTTGTTGTAATCCCCTGCTGAAAGAGATCAGTACCAGGTGGCTAGGGCAATTTATGGTCTGCCGTATCATTTCTGTTTCCCAAAAGTATCCCATTCTTTATTCCTCTTTTGCCCTTGGTCTTGTGTATGTGTGTATATAGGTGCACCCACAGTGTTTATTTACACCCTCTGCCTTCTTATTTTTAGGATTTCAGATGCATGCCAGGTTCCCACTGAATGCCAGAAGTAGAGATCACTACAGATGGAGCCCCAAAGTCAACATGGCAGTGGTGGTTCGCTAGTGGTGATTCAGCAGCCCTCCCTGGACAGCCGGCAGCGGTTGGACTATGAAAGAGAGAGCCAGCCGACAGCTATCTTGTCACTGGACCAGATCAAGGCGATCCGGGGCAGCAACGAATACACCGAAGGTCCATCTGTGGTGAAAAAATCTGGTCCGCGGACAGCACCGAGGCAGGAGAAGCATGAAAGGACTCATGAAATTATACCAATTAATGTGAATAACAATTACGAACACAGACCCAGCCACGTGGGACATCAGCATAACGCGAGGGCTCCCGTCTTGAGCAGATCGACCAGCACGGGGAGCGCGGCTAGCTCCGGGAGCAACAGCAGTGCCTCCTCCGAGCAAGGGCTACTGGGGCGGTCGCCTCCATCCAGGCTGGGCTCAGGCCACAGATCCGATCGGACAATCCGGACGCAGCCCAAGCAGTCGTCTCTGATTGTAGATGATCTGAAGGGTCCTTTGAAAGAGGACTTGACGCAGCATAAGTTTATCTGCGAACAGTGTGGGAAGTGCAAGTGCGGGGAGTGCACGGCCCCCAGGGCTCTCCCTTCTTGCCTGGCCTGCAACCGGCAGTGCTTGTGCTCGGCGGAGAGCATGGTGGAGTACGGCACCTGCATGTGTTTGGTCAAAGGGATCTTCTACCACTGCTCCAACGACGATGAAGGGGACTCGTACGCGGATAATCCCTGCTCTTGTTCCCAGTCACACTGCTGTTCTAGGTACCTGTGCATGGGAGCGATGTCCTTGTTTCTGCCTTGCTTGCTCTGCTACCCTCCTGCAAAAGGATGCCTAAAACTCTGTCGAGGGTGCTACGACCGCATCAATCGTCCAGGTTGCCGATGCAAGAACTCCAACACGGTCTATTGTAAACTGGAGAGCTGCCCCTCCCGAGGTCAGGGCAAGCCCTCATGATTTTTGGAGGGAGGTTTACTTCCTCCAACTTCAGTTTTTCAGGTTGTAGCTGATATTTCCCCCCCACCCCTAAATTTCTTTTAATTTCCCACCTCCCCCCCTGTTTTGGAGGGGCTGTTCTTTGCTTCCCTTTCTGTCTCCCCAACTTCAAATACGCAAGTTCTTCGCTTTGCATCTTTGCTCTCCTCTTCCTCTTGACTTGGCTGAGTGTGGAGCGTTTTACGTAGTCGTTGCTGCTCTTTGGTAAGTGCGGACCTGGTATCTGCATCTGCCGCTCGCCGTGGCGGGGTCTTCTGAGTTTGTAACTGAACCACTCCTGAAAGAGACAGTGAGGGCTCACTGGGCTCTTGAAGCTTCTTGCTCTGTGAATATCTTCCCAAAGATGTTTTTTGTTCTCAGCAATATTTTTTTTTTTTTCCTTTTTTCCTTAACCCCCTGGGTACCAAGGAAGAATAACTTGCATGAGTGAGCTGGATTGTGAAATAACTTTTTGTGTGCGTTCTTTCTGGAGAGGGATGTAAAATAAAGGCTTTACCAAATGAAAGCCCTGACTCTTCTATAAGCAGCCTGCTTTTTTTTTTTTTTTGGCCTTCTCCCCCCTTCCTTTTTTGTCTTAACTCTTGGAACATTCTCAGTCCTGAGGATTACCCTGCCCTGCCTCCTTGTTTTTTTACATTTTCAATGTAACTTCAGTTTTTGCTACACTATGTAGATCTTCACATTGGAGACATTATGGCTGCGACATAGGCATTTGTTTCTTTTGCTGTCAGATCTTTGAAGGATATTGCTCACTCCACTTTCCTACTCCTGCTTTTATAGTCTATCAGTATCAGTTGATATTAAAGTTGGTGGTGTTTATATATCCAAACAGCCTTCAGGTGTCACTGAGTCATCTAAATGTTCTTGAATCCTTCAAGTCTCTTGTGATCCTTTGGTTTAGTGAATTTAGCTCCGCTCTGTACTTTATAATTTTATTCTGTCCCTGTTTTATTGCCTTAGCCACAAATTGTGGTCCTTTTTTGTATATTTTATGTATAAAACAAAGTTGAATTCCAACTATTTTTAAGACAAAAGTCTGTTAAAACTTTTTTTATTGTAAAGAATATTTATTATGTGAATCTCTATTATTTTATGATATTTATTGCAAAAGACTGAAAATGTACTCTTGTCTGAATATAACAAAATATCAATACTTAACGAAATAAGGATGACACGAAGAAAGAACATATGTTAACTATAATGCAGAAAATATATTAATTAATGAAAATGGCTCTTGAGTTCTTTTGTTATAATGACAGGTTGTAAGCTACACGTGCATATTGCTGGGTTGTTGGGGTTTCTCCTCCTCGCAGTCTATCAGGTAGCAAATAACTTCCTATTGATACTTCAAAACCACTAGTCTGTGCTCTAGTTTAGTTTACGTCATTTTAAGTTTGCTAACTATATATCAAGTAAGTTTTTGCTATAGGATATTTAATACAATTGAATGTATACGTTGTGCTTAACAGTGCCAAGAAGTGTGGGCCCTATTTATTTACCAAAGCATTTGGAAATACAGTTGTGGAGGAGGAAACCATAGCTTCAAGTTGTTTTGTTTCCTAAAGAATACCAAATTAACGTGTAAACCTATTTTAAATTTTCTCATATAGAACTTCTTGGCTGGTTAAATTGTACATCAACTGAAGTCATCAATCTGCCAAGCTCAAATCTAAATAAAAAGCAAGAGGCAGGATAAAAAATAACGGTTGTGTTGCTGTAGTTTGCTAGCTTTGAACTTGGGGGCAGGGGGGTGTTTGTGCCTATGTCTACGGCTTGTTTGGTTCTTTTCCCATACGTTTTCCCAATGTCAACCAAATCTATCTTCTGTCTTTAAATTAAAGGCTCTTAAGGGTGACCTGAGTGTCACAGCTACTTCTGGCCATTTAACACATACTCAACAAAAAAGCTTTTCATTAAGAGTGAATGGGGAAACCTCCTTCTTCTGTTCATGTAGGTCAAGGCTAACATCACAGTTCTTCTAAAGTAAAAAGTTTATTAAATGGATGTAATTTCCCATAGTATTCAGAGTAAGTGGTTCGAGAGAAACTCCACTTTAAGGACATAGTAATAACTTGGCAAATGTGTCATAGCTTGCATTTTGAAGTCTTGCTGCTTTGAATTGCCATATTCAAGCTGTTCCGACTCCTAGCATATTGAGGATTTGAATAAGCTCGGCTTTTGTAGTTAACTCCGTCAAAGCTGATCCAGTGTCATATAATGAGCTGACCAGAATGTTACATTCTTTATTAAATGGCATGGGTGACTTCTGTGAGGTATAAAGTGAAATCATCATCTGGCTACATGTAGGAAACCACTTGCTTTGCAGCATACAGTTGGTAATATTGCTCTTCCTGGGAGACAGGCTGGGAGGCTTGTCGGGCAGCAGTGTGTATATACAAGGTCTGCTTTCCAAGATTTATTCTTCATGAGATGAAGCAAAGCCAAGAGAAGAATGTTCTGAGGAGTAGGCAACTTGCTTTGCACTACTTCCCTATCACCGATGCTTCTCTGTAAGAGTGACAACTGCAAACAGCCCTTGGGAGACAACGAAATCCTTGTCAGTCGGTCACCGTTGGTCAGATGGGACCACTTTTAAGACTCTCTACTGACACTCAAAAATACTGAGCCCGAACTGCCTCTTCGTAACTGGATAGGATCCAGCTCTGTGTTGAGTAAGTTTGCTCAAAGGGTGTTGGTTATTCCTCTTCAAGAAAAGTGTTATACTGTCTGTTTTTTTTTTTTCAGCCAGGTGACTTACGTGGGGGTTTGGTTTGGTTTGGTTCCTAGCAGAAGAGAAGAAAGCCCAAAGGACGAGCTATGTCGCAGCACTGCTTCAAATTTCTCTTAAAAAACTCAACAAAACCTATGCTGTAGTTAGTCACACTAACTAACGATCCCTTTACTAACTAAACTTTGGGGATAACTTCAGGTTGCCGGTCCTTAGGAGGAAAGCTTGACGTTGACCTACACAGCAATGAGAAGATAACAGTTCCTTGTATGTCTTAAGTGGTCTTCTAATTGCTAGGGGTTACCCAGAGAAGGCAGTGTTAAAGCAATGAGAATAATCGGTTTTTTCTCGGGTTAGATGCTGTATCGTTTGTACTCAATATACATCTATATATTTGAGTTCAATTTCGGGTCCTTTGGAACGGGTCTAATGTTACGGAAATGACTGTGACTTCTTTCAGGCAGACAGATTTTGTGGTAGAACCACACAGGATTGCATGAGAGCAGATGAATGTCTAGCGGGAAAAAAAAATGAGCAAGCTGACAGATGTACGAAGTAAGCCTCCACAACTTGAAGAGACAAAAATTATTTTAAATATACCCTAAGTGGTCACTCATTATAATCTGTTCTACTTTCTACAATATAGCAACTGGAATGACCATCTAGAAATACTGTGTTTTGTTGGAAGGGGGTTTGCTAAAGGCTAATGAGATTGGCGATTAGGAGACCGAACTTTTTCAACCCAAAATTTGTCAGCAGGCTGTTCAGGTTATTTTCTACATGTCTATAGAGTGCCAGACTGTCAGAGGTCCATTACAATGTAGATCATAAAAATTATTTCTTAACTGTTTTCAGATAGCTTTGAGTTATTTTGAAAAAATAAAGAGAATTCCCTATAAAATGATTATGTAATTAGGCGGCAAGTTCAACTGACCTACTAACCTAATTGTGTAGGTTGGTGATGGATTTGACCAAGCCCACCACCTGGTCAGACACAGCGGAGTCCGGAAATGTGTTGCGTAAGGTCTGGGATGAAGGAAAAAGGGAAGTCCCTCCAGCAAGACGGAATTCAAGTCATGGTTTGCTTGGTGTCTTGAAACGCCTGGTAAGAGATGGGTTTTGGAAACAGATGGTAAATAGATTTCCATGTTCCCTGCTGGAGAAACAGATTGCGAGGGTGAGAGCTGGAGAGAGCTGGAGTGTTTCTCCAAAGCCGGCTTCATTACACTAATGCTAGTGTGGATGATAGCATTATCCAAGGGGGGATAATGCTTAACAAACGAAAAGTACTTGCTCCTGTTTATGGTTCCATATCATAAAGACAGGTGGGAGAGGATTAGCTCCTCTGTCTGTGATAAAGCAAATCTGTTAAGAGGGATTAAAAGGGCTAGATGAAGTGTTTTAATGGACTTATATGAGGTAATAGATTTTTGTCCTGGAGGAATGTTCAGGACTCACTGATGCTTCTGTATTTCTTGTTCTGCTAAAATTACCTCCAAATTCTAAGGAATCGTGATTAATCGTTGGCTTTCTTCCAGCTGGAGCATTTGTGTCAGTCATGGTGGTGCTTCAAAAAACCCGGAATAAAATTTTGTTCTCTTATCACACAGCTGCATTTACCAGCCTTATGCAGCGCATTGGTTGCACCGGTCTTGTTCCAATTAGCCTTCATCAGCAGGCAAGTTGCTTTTACGGCAACTCTTAATCATTTGTACTTCCTCGCCGTGGTTGTTTTTCACCGTTCTCTCACCGCCAGGAGTAGCCAAGGCATGGCTTCTATGCTTGGCATGAGCTACCTAGCCATGTGGGCCCGGTGTTAACAAGCTTTGTGCTTACTGGAGCTATTCAAAAAACTCCTAAGCTACCCAGAACGTTTCCTTCAACGTGGAAGCAGAACATGCTGGAGCATGGACTTGGGCTGTCACCGGTCCAGGGACTGATGCCCCGCTGCCCTCCGGGGATAAGGGCGGTTGGGGAGTTGGGCAGCGAGCACAGCCCACAGATCAACATTTAAAAATCCCAGCCCAGAGTTGCTCAGGCTCTTTGTGCACCCTTGCGCTGTGAATACTCGCTTGCTGCAAGTTGAGAGCTCTCGCAGTCCGTGTCCCCCCCCGTCATCAACCACAGTGCGAACGCCCAGGCCCTCGCCAAAGAGGGGGGCATCGATCCCTGCAAGCATTGCGATGACTGTTAAACTTTTCAGTTGCGTTTTCTGTGCCTGTGTATGTGCGTG